TGTCCTTCGCGTTGGCGGTGGGCGCAAAAGTGATTCAATATCTTATCCCCATTCTCGCACATTCACAATCTCACAATCTCACATTCTCACAACTGCATGATGGCAGCGCACGGCGCACACTTTGAATCGCACCCGAACCAGCTCTGGTCGCGGTCGCGGTTGGGGTTGGGGTTGGGGAAAGGCGGGTGAACCCCCCTCCTCCCACGGTGGATGGTGGATGCATCCCATCGAGAGTGCCCCCCGCGACTGGTACTGGCCCCGGACGATCGCCGTAATCTCTACCCCAGACCCCTACCGCCTCATCGCGGGCGGGGCGGGCCATCGTCGACGTGGATGCAGATGCTCGGTCCTGCCAGGGGTCTCGATGCAAGTCGGAAGCCGCAGCGCAAGAGAGCCGCAAACGTAAGCTGGCACTCGAGGAAACTCAAAAGAAGAACCTTGAGGACTGCGAGCGACGAAAGGCGACCGTCATGGTGACACCGAAGAAACGAGCGGGGCGAGAAAGGAACGCGAGGGAGGACGCAGCATTAAATTATTTAGAAAGAAAGAAGAAAAAACACTTGAAGATGGTCGTCAAATGAGTTGATTGAAGAACACCAAAGAGAAGAAAAACTTTCGGATGTGGGGAATTGAACCCTGGGCTGCCGCGATCGCGCATTAGGTCATTCGGGAGAAGCAACGGGAGGATGAGTGTTTAATCATGATGGGCGCGATAAAAAGGCATCAACAACAGCCCCTATTCTAGCCTTCCCAGAGCTACATAAAGGGTTTCGGTCAGAATCTGATGCCTCAGACTTTGCTACAGGGGAAGTCTTATCTATCAAATGCCAAGATGATCAATGATCTTTGGAGGCCTGTTGCATATATATCACATAGCTTGTTGCCTACAGATGTGAGGCAACGATAAACTATAACAAGAACTAAACCTTTCTCCTTCTGCACTTGCAGGGAGTAAGGGTCCAATGAGCTTGAGGTCAACAGACGCTAGAAATATAGCGAGTCGAGGACTTTGAGAGGTAAGCTTCAAAGGTTCTTGTTGAGGAGTAAAGCGGGTAAATTCAGTAATAGAAAGCTAAGGAGCTATACATGAATAGGCACGTCTTTATATAGAGAACTGTCCGTTCCTCAGACCGAAAGGAGAATATACGAAAAGTGGTCTGAGGAATTAATCAACCAATAGGAAAAAGGGAGAGTAACTATTGTACGACTTCTGACTTGATTAATCAGCAGGTGAGAGACTTGTACTAATAATAGAAGATTGTTACGCGTGGTCAGGAACCGTATCCTCATGATGAGGTACAATTCTAGATAAGGCGTTTATTAGTATTACCAGGCTTTACTGGGGCTTGGAGCTGGTTGGCGAGATGTCTACTACCAGTCCCTACCCAGTGTGCTGGCTAGCTGGGAGCGATGCCCAGTCTCTGATCTGTGATATAAAGTGGTAGCGATGGTTAAGAAAGCCTGTGAGGGCTATGAGAAGTAAGATGGCAAAGGATACCTCTAGCCCTAGAGCCAGAGGTGTAACGGAAAAAGCGTTCGAGAACCAAGACATAACAAAGATAAGAAAATAGTAAAACGGTCCTTACATTACCCCCCCCTTTTATATTCTTGTCCCAAGAATCTTAGCGCCGCAGTCCGTGAAGCGGTTTGTGATCCAGTCGAAAAGGCGGGGTTTTTCGGTTGTTGTAGTGAAATTTTCGTATGGACGAAATCGTAAAGCGGCAGAGGCGATGACACGTGGGGCGGCAGGGTGTTTGCGGTGGAAGGTGGCAATAAGTGAAGGGGAATTTTTCAAATGGTGGTCGGGTTCCCACGTCCTCTCTGTGATCGGGTATCCCTTCCAATGGACAAAGTAATCGAGCTTAGCCCCTTTGAGTTTAGTGGGCCGAGAAGCAATGATTTCTTCGGCTTCGTATTCGGCTGCGCCATCAACTTGGATCGGCGGAGGTTTCGAGGTACGAGGTTGATTAGGAAACTCCGGCGTGTGATACGGCGATAAGAGGATTTCGTTGAATACGGGATGGATCGCCTTCCAGGATCTAGGGACGTCAAGGAGATAAGCGGATGGGCCGACTTTTGCCTTTACCGTAAACGGGCCAAATCGCTTGTCATCTAACTTCTTCATCGGTCTATCGGTGGAGATATGAGTTCCTTCTAACCACACCTTATCCCCTTTGTGATACTCCCGTGCTTCCGTGCGTTTTCGGTCATAGTACTTTTTGAGGTTTTGATTAGCGAGTAATAATGATTGCCTAGTTTGCTCGTGCAGTTTTGTCATAGAGGTTGCGAAATCTTCGGCAGCCTGCGAACGTCCGGAAGGCTTCTGACCGGTCCCTTTGCGAGGGTGAGAACCATAATTTACGAAGAAGGGGGTCTGATTGGTCGCAGAGTGGAGATGATTGTTGTACGTGAATTCGGCAATGGCTAGCCAATCAGCCCAGTCGTCTTGTCGGTGATTAATGAACGTGCGTAGGTAGTGTTCTAGGTCTTGATTGATTCGTTCGGATTGCCCATCAGTTTGGGGGTGGTAACCTGTTGACAGGCCGGGTTCGATCCCAAGGGTCTGATAGAAGTCCTTGGTGAAGTTCGACATGAATTGAGGTCCTCTATCTGATATAATTTTTTCCGGGATGCCGTGTAGTCGTATAACCGAATCTCGTAGTTGTTTGGCGTAGCCTAACGAATCAAGAGTAACGTGCGTTGGTACGAAGTGAGCCATTTTCGAGAATCTGTCAACAAAAACCTGGATAGCGTCGTATCCGTTTGACTCTGGTAATGCTCCGATGAGATCCGTTGTGATTATCTGCCAAGGACGATCAGGGATCAGATTTGGATGGAGGGGAGCATGCGGTTTTTGACGATGCGACTTTGTTCTCTGACATATCTCGCATCCTGCGACATATTTCCTGATATCTCTCCTGAGGCTAGGCCACCAGAATGATCGGTTTACTCCTTCGTGCGTCTTTCTTTCTCCTGGGTGTCCGCTGAGGCTCGTGTCATGTTCTTCTTCGATAATACGTGCCCTCAACTTTGGATCTTGGGGTACGTAGATTTTGTTTTTGAAGGACCCTAACGTCAACTCGTCTTCTTTCTCATTTCCTATCCAGACGATTCCGTCTCGTTTCTTCCAAACCTTTGGATCTTCTTTCAACTTCCTTACTACGTAATCGTCTAGTTTGTGCTGCGAAGCTAGCAGCTCGTCCAGGTAGTGTTCTTCTAACACGTCCTCCATAGTATAAATGTTTGCTTCCGCGAGCTGAGGTAGAAGGACCTGTCCTTCGTTGTCTCTCTCGCCTCTCGGATGGTCTACTCTTCGGCTAAGTAGGTCCGCTTTCGTGTTCGCCGAGCCTTTCACATGCTCTAGCTTGAAATCGTATCTCGCTAGTGTGTCCATCCACCTAGCTTGTCGTCTGTTTACCTTCTGGGGGTCTCGGAAGTAGGTGAGGTTTTGATGGTCGGTGAATATGGTGAACTGGTGTTTAGCTCCCATGAGGAGGTGTCGCCATTCTTCTAATGCATGCATTACCGCTAGCATCTCTTTATCCCAGATAGCGTAATTTCTCTCTGCAGGGTTCATCGATTTTGACAGGAATGCGACCGGTCTCCATTTCCCTTCTTGCTGCTGGGATAACACTGCTCCCGTGGCGTAGTTGGAGGCATCACATTCAACTTTGAATGGATCCTCGTCGTTAGGGATTGCGAGTGTGGGCGAAGTGGTGATTGTCTTTTTGAGAACGTCGAACGCTCGTTGTTGGTCTTCAGCCCACTCCCAGTCTACCTTTCCGGTGAGAATCGTCAGCGGTTTGGCAATCTTTCCGTAGTCTCTGATGAATCGTCTGTAAAAGTTTGAAAACCCTAGGAATGACTGTAACTCCTTCTTTGTTCGTGGTATCGGCCATTCTGCAACTGCCTGTACTTTTAGCGGGTCCATACGAATCGTATCATGGGAGATGATCATTCCCAGATATTCGACTTCCTTCTTCTCAAACTCGCATTTCTCTGGCTTGAGATATAATTGATTGTCTGCGAGTATCTGAAGAACTTTGGATACGATCTTCCTGTGTTCTTCTAACGAGTCGGTGAATATCATGATGTCGTCGAGGTATACGATAACTGATCCTTCGTTGATTAGGTCTCTGAGAAGTCGGTCCATCATTGTTTGAAAGGTGGCTGGGGAGTTCGTGAGTCCGAAGAACATAACTAGAGGTTCGAACAGTCCTCTGTTAGTTCTGAAGGCGGCCTTGTGCTCATCTCCTTCTTTGATCCGAACATTATTATATCCCCAACGGACATCCAGCTTGGTGAAGAATCTCGCTCCTTTGAGTCGGTTTATCAATTCTGAAATGAGGGGTAACGTATATCGGTTTTTAATCGTAAGTGCGTTGAGTTTCCGATAGTCTTGTACCGGTCTGAGAGATCCGTCTTTTTTCTTGATAAAGAAGAACGGGGATGCGTAAGGGGATTTCGATACTCTGATCCTCCCTGTCTCCAGGTTTTCTTTCAAGAATTCGTCAAGATGAATTTGTTCGTCTCGGTTAAGTGGATACGTTTTACAGTCTAGACCTTTGGCTTCTGGTAGGAGTTCAATTGCGTGGTCCCAGACTCGTCGTGGGGGTAGTTTGTCAAATGACGCTTTTGTGAATACTGGCTCGAAATGATGATAAAACGGGGGAACGACGTCTCTGAATGTGAGTGTTGACTTTGCTCGTTCTGATTCTTCCGCAATCTGTTGGCTTTTGGTCTGAGATACGTTGCTTTCGACGGAAATTTTGTCAATCCTGCTCTGTAAGTCTACAGCGATGACTCTATCTCTGTCTTCAGGGTGATACTCCGTATCAGAAGGGTACGTGATGGTGTTTGTCTGCCAGTTGATGTTGGGATTTGTGCGTCGTAGCCAGTCGTGTCCTAATAAAATTCTGGCCTCTCTTTGTCCAGTGACCAGGAAGTCCATTAATTCCGTGCGACCTGCCACAGTTAGGCGAAGTGTCACATATTCCGTTAAAGGTCCAGTGCGATTCTTGGTTCCATCGGCGTTTGAGACAATAACACGAGTTGGCAGTGGTTTTGTGGAAATGTTGTGTTGCCGAACAAAGGTTTCGTCAATGATAGAATCTGTGCATCCTGAATCTATCAAAACTGGTATGACATGCGTCTGGTGATCGTCGATAGTGGATAATTGACATTGTAGCGAGAGTTTGCGTTGATGAGATGGGGGGAGGGATGCGAAGTCTTTGATGACATTCAATTGCTCTACGATATACTCTTCATCGTGTTGCTTGAGTAAATTGATTGTATCCGTCGTGATGTGTGGGTAACACTGGGGTGAGGCCCAGTTCCGAACCAATGCTTTGGCTCTTTCTTCTTTCTGGTCTTTAATTCGTCGAGCCAACCATTCCGCTGAATGTGGCTTAGCGTATTTCTCGGCACGTGGGTTTTGGGAAACATGTTTCGATTTATCAGTTACAAATACATTTTCTGAACCGTGCTTACTGGTCAGAGAGTCCGTGCTTACTCCTGACCTTCGAGAAAATCCTTCGTCTTTGTCTCCTCCTGGGTTGTGGTTGCTTCTCTAGCTGCAACTTTCTTCAGAGGGCAGTTCCTTGCGATATGACCTGGCTGGCCACATCCGTAACATAATCTAAACCGACTCTGTCGGTCTGTATCCATGGGTACGCCTTGTCCGGGGAATATACCTCTCTGAGGTTGATCCTCGAACCTTCTTGCATACTGATTCGTCTGGGGTCTCGCCATCTGCTGTGGCTGCGGCTGTTGCACATGCTGGTGCGTATACGTCTGTTGTCTATAGATAGGTCGCGACGGCTGCGTGACTTCTCTCTTTCGTCTTTCGTCTAACTGAAACTCTTCTCTTCGTGCCTCCCATGCGTAGGCTTGCGTTTTCCACTCAGCAAACGTTTTTGGTAGGTCTCTCTGGATGATGACGAAATCGCAGATTCGAGAGTGAAGATTCTTTTTGAGAATACGATTGATCACGTCGAAGTGAGTGGTAGCGTCATATCCGGCCTTGTCCATGAGCGTTGTGAAATGGCTAAAGAATTCGTCGCAATGCTTATTCTCCTGCTTGTATGTCTCGATCTCGTTTACTGCCTGCGATCTTTCGTTTGGATTCCCGAATACTTGGGCTAGGTCGGTTAGGACGGTCGAGAGAGTCGGCCATACGGGGGTAGTTGCGTCGAGAGCTTTGGTAAGCACGTTTTCTTTCCAAGCTTTTACTGTCGACGTTCCTTGGTCGCTGATTTTGGATAGGAGGTAAATGAGCTTCGTCTTCTCGTCTGGAAAGTAGGAGGCGTAGGCGGTTAAGTACAACTGTAGTGCTTGGCGCCATGCTATGAATCGTTCCTTCTCTCCTTTGAATTCGAAGGGTTCTGCTGCGAGAGTTACTTTGCCGTGTAACTGTGTGGGGTTAGACATGGATGAGGGTTTTGGAGGAATTGGAGGTGGAGGTGGGCGTGTAGGTGGTAGCGGTAGGGTTTGTCTGGGCGGAGTCTCCGGTTCTATGGACGGTCTCGGGTTTCGATATTCGGAAAACACTTTGAAGGATTTTGAAACGAGGTTTATTTAGTTTGAATCGTAATCAA